TTTTTTTTTTTTTTTTTTTTTTTGTGGTGCTAGGGATTGAACACAAGGCCTTCACACTGAGCCACATCTTCAGCTTGGTTTTAATTAATTTTGGAGGGTTTTGAGGCAGGGTGTTGCTATATAGTTCTGGCTGTCCTTGAACTTACTACGTAGACGAGGCTGGCCTTGAATTGGCGTTGATCCTCCTGCCTCAGCCTCCTGAGTGCTGGGACTTCAGGTGTATGCCACCCCACCTGGCTGGCTGGCTTGCTTGCTTTCGACAGGGTCTCACTAAGTCGCTTGGGCTCTAACTAGGGGTTCTCCTGCCTCAGGCTCTCAGAGTACTGGGATTATAGGTGTGTGCCACTGTATCTGGCTTACGTTAGCCACTTGTAAGCATACAGTTCAGTGGCGTTCAGTACAGTCAGATCATTGTATGATCTTCACTGCTGTCCCTCTCTCCTTACTGTTCTCAGTGAAATCATCTGGAGAATTTTTCAGTATGACAGTGACAATTCGGCTTGGATCAGTAGGTAGTGAGAAGTAGCGCTGCAGAGAATGCAGGCTCTGTGTTGTACCACAGGTGGGTTCCTGTTCAGGTAGCATTGCAGGATCGCCGTGGGCGGGACCTGACAGTTGCTCTGAGTTTTGCTCTGGACTGCTGGGAATCCTACCTGCAAGGAGCCAAGAGGCTCCCCACCCAGGCCTGCCGGATCATACCTGTAATCCCAGCACTCTGGGAAGCTGAGGCAGGAGCATCGAAAGTTCAAGCCTAGCCTGGGTGATTTAGCAACTTAATGAGACTCTATCTCAAAAATTTTTAAAAAACAGGGCTGGGGATGTAGCTCAGTGGAAAAGCCCTGGGTTCAGTCCGCAGTACAGAAAAAAGAGAAAAAAAGGCTCCCCAAGGCGGAAGCCTTCTGTAGCAGCTTATCGGAGCACCTCACTCCATCCCTGTTTCCTCCTCACCCATTGTCTGAGGAATCTGGGGCTTTCCCACCCATGTCCAGCTTGTGGGATCCATCCCAACTCCGAGGCTCCACAGTCCTTCCTCCTCTGCTTCTCCCGAGCCCCTGAAAGCAGAATCAGCTCCTGGGAGAGGCTGCAGCTCCAGAGCACAGGCTTTTTAAAGGCCCTGATGTGAGAGGTGGGGCTGCTCCTGCTATTTATAGGCCTGGGAGAGTCCTGTGCACGCTCTGAGTTCCTCGCCCAGAGGTGGGCCTTCTCCATGCGTGCGTCAGGCTGCCCGGTAGGTGGTCACCTCCGTCCTCACTGGCTCTCCTGACCCCCTCCCTGTGTGGCATCAGACTTCTGAGAGGGAGCTCGATTCGGATCTCCTTGAAGAAGCGAGGGAAAAGCAAAAAGCTCTTGCCACTTCGGAGGGGAGAAATGCGGCCTTGGCCCTCCCCACCTCAGCTCAGTGCCGGGGCTCAGCCTGCCAGGATGGGGGACCCCTTGAGCCCCCGGCCTGTACCCCCGCCCCGCCTTCGTCGGGCCTCCAACTGGGGCGACCCTCCTTATCCCAGGCCTGCTGAGCCATCTCTGGAAATGGCTGGCTCCACATGCCAGCCTGGTACCCACACTGCCAGCCTCTGCCTGGCAGCCTCCCCCAGGCCGCATTGGGCGCTGCTACCAGGGCCTGCCAGCCGGGCAAACGTAAGTGGCTTTTGTTTTCTTCCGGTGCCAGTGAGTGGTACAGAAAGGGCATGAAAATGGCCTTCAGTGGCCATTCTGTTCTCTCCCTCTCCTGCTCTCTCCTCCCTCCCTTCTCTTTTTGTTTCTGTCTCTCTTTGGTGGGTTAATTGCTGACAGTGGAGCTATTGTTCTGACTGGGACACAGGCAAGGTTGGCAGAGCCAGGGCCTCACGTGCCAACTGTCTCCATTGCTGTGCTCGCTTCTGTGCCTCTGTGTCTGCTCACACACACCAGGGAGCAAGGCTGGGGTACCCAGAGGAAGCCCTGGGGACATGCACAGGCGGAACTCAACTGAGTTCCTCTGCCCTGAGGCCAGGGAGACAGCCGGCCAGAAAGACAGGTTTGAGGTGGTGGTGCCCATAGCTCAGACTAGAGCATCGGCCCTCCCTCCCTGGAAGCAGCTGCCAGGACCCGCTCCTTCCCCGATGCAAGCTGGGACTTCATACAGCAAAGCCTGATTCCTGTGTGGCCACTCTGGCTGGCCTGTCACTTGCTGCTGCCTCTAGGGTCCCTCCTGGGTGACCAAGAGCAGCTCTGGGGTGGGGGTAGGGCAGTTTGGAACCTTGTCCCAGTGTTCTGGTCCCACACGCACATACTGGGAGGAAGTGGGGCCAACCAGGGCAGGCTCCCCTATATCCCGGCCGTTCAGAACCCGCAAACTCTGGAGCCTTCTGCCAGGTTCTGTCCAGCCCAGAATGCTGCTTTGATACTTTCTTCCTCAAATAGCTCCTACCAATAAGACACGTGTGTCTGAGTCATCTCCTCTGTCATCTCCTCGGTCCTTGGGGCTCCCTGTGGATGTTGAGGCTTTTACCCAGGGTCAAGCCTCCCTAGGGGTCCTTTGGGCCACTCACCTGGCCTGGCCACAGCAGAGGTGCTGGGTCAAGAGCTGCTTCTCAGCTCACCACCATGCCTCTGGGAGCCACCCCCAGAAAGCCCTCACCCCACAGTGGCCCCTCGACGCTGCGCTGCACGAGCTGGTCAGGCGCGTTCCCCTCGTCGAGTGGCTGTGACCCCTCCTGTCCGCTGTACCCTGGCCTCCATTCTTTTCCCAGCCTTTACCTCTTTTCCTACTCAGCTTTGGGTCTGCTAGGCTGGCAGATAAATGTACTTGTGAAGTTCCCTGTTTCCTTGTGCTCTGTTCACGGTGTTGAGTAGCTAGGACTGCTTTGCTCCCTGAGTCTGTGTCAGAGGTGGGAGTCTCTCAGGGAGGGGCTCTGTGAGGGAAAAGGCACTGAATCAGCTGCTCCTCCCTTCAAGGTGTGCTCCCGGCCCCACGCCGTCACCAACGGCCACGAGTTGTTTGAGGTGTCAGAGGAGAGAGATGAGGAAGTTGCCGCATTTTGCCACATGCTGGATGTGTAAGAGTTAATGGGACAGAGGGCTCGGGTGGTATGGGGGGCTTGGGAGAGGGATCCCCCATTCCTGAGCTTGCTTTAGGAAGGAAGAACCGAATTAAACTTCAAAGCTATGGGAGGTGTTTTGACATCTTAGGAGCTTCTCATTTCAAATAAAATTCTTGAAACTTCATCTAACAGCCCAGTTACCCTCATCACTTTTGACTCTGGCCCTCAGGTTCCCTTAGGAACACTAATATACCCCAGGTAGACAAAAGCATGTTCTGTTGAACCAAAAGAGAAAGGACATGGATTCCTGTCTTCTGTGACTTCTGGCGGGAAGCTTTGGTTTTTGGAACTCTCTGTGCTCCATTGTAGAAGACATTTTTGCAACTTGAGCAGAGATGGCAAAAAGTTTTCTAGGGCTACCTCTCCACTGCCCTGAGCTCCTGAGGGCATTGCTGAGTAGGGACAGGGGACCCCGGGCCTCCGGTGGGAGGGCCCCTGCGGGCCGCTTGTCACCTGCTCTCTGAAGGCACAGTGAAGGCTCTCCTCCCCTCCTGTACAGCCTTCGGTCAGGCTCTGACATCCGAGACTACTCCCTCACTGGCTGTGTCTGGAGTGCTGTCACCCCGAGCCCAGAGCACCTTGGGGATGAGGTCAACCTGAAGGTGACTGTGTTGTGTAACAGCCTTCGGGAGCCACTCACTTTCACCTGTAACTGTAAGTCAGCTGGGGAGGTCTTGAGTGCACCCCTTGAGGTGGGGCAGCGATGGCTCCGGTCTGTAGGATCCTTTGGCCTCCCTCGCGTCAGTCTTTGTGGCCCTGATGAAGGGTGGGAGGGAAGCTCCTTTGGGGACTGGGTCTCTGAGGTCCTTTCTCAGCCCCAAGTGTGCTTGCCTGTTTTATCTGGGTGGTGGTGATGCTGAGGCTCAGCTGGGGATGGAGGATGGAGCTGGGGAGCTGAACCTTGCCTGCCCCAGGCCTGGTGATGCTACTCCCTGCCCTTCCAGGTTCCTCCACTGTAGACCTGCTCATCTACCAGACCTTGTGCTACACCCATGACGAGCTGAGGGAAGTGGACGTGGCTGACTTTGTACTAAAGCCCTGCGGGCTAGAGGAGTTCCTGCAGAAGTGAGTGGACTTCCGGAAGCTGGGGAGGTGGGGGGGCAGCACCTGCCGAGTGGGTGGGAAGGTGTAGGGGATTGCAGGGTGCTGCTAAGCTTGAGGCTGACAGCTCCGCCCCAACTCTGCAGTCAGGACTCCTGCTTTCTGGGCACATTCCCGCCGGCCACATCACTCTTTCCCCAGGAGCTCCGTCTTCCAGCAGAGCTGGCTGCATTCTGAGCCAAATCTGCTGTGGAAAGAGCTTGGGACTGGAATGAGGCAAAGACAAGGTCCTATGTGCGTGCAGACTTCTGCTTGCAGAGAGTCGTGTATCCTCGGGGTCAGGGTCAGGGGTCTGTGGAGCATTGCTTCTGCTCTCCGGGATGTGTGTGGTGTCTTTCAGGCCAAGGGGAGCAGCGAGCCTGGGCAGATCTGCCCTCGTGGAACCGAGCGGAGAAGTTACTATTGCTCTCTCCCCTTCCCCTGCCAGCATGCCTTTCCCTGCTGGCCAGCTGGCCACCTCCTCCCAAAGGCTGCCTTCCAGCTCCTCTGTGGCCAGTACCCTCTGCAGAAGGCAGCCTCCCTGGAAAGTGTGATGGGGACCAGCTGAGGCAACCCCCTTTCTAGAGGGGCGGGGTGGAAGGGAGGTGGGGTGAAACTTGTGCCCCTCAATATTGCTGTGTGACAGAAGACAGACTGGGCTGGCTGCTCCTTCCCACTGCTTGGAGGAAACCCCAGTGCTACCTCAGGCCTTTCCTCTCTCATGTGCAGCGTGAGAGGCAAAGTCGGTCTCCTAAGACCTGAGCGTGGAAATTGGGCTGCAGACTGAGTTCTTGGTTGATTTCTTCAACACTAAAGATGTGTGGAGCCCTCTGTATCCTCCACATCCTCATCTGGAAGTGGAGGGAAGGCCTCGCATGGCAAAACTATGGCACCTTCAGACATGGCCCACGTGGTACTTGAGTCCTGGCCTCCCCTAGTGGAGTAAGGAGGAGTCCCGGATGCTGTTAGGATGTGGTGAGGGGTAAACTGAACTCCGGGTAACACCATTGCGCTAGTTTGAAGCCTGTCTTGCAATTTACTAGTGGTGAAGATTGACTCTCTGTCCTCTGTAAGGAATGGTGAGCGTTTGGGTTGGGGATGTAGCTCAGTGGTAGAGCTCTTGCCTGGCATGTATAAGGTCCCGGCTTTCATCCCCAGCACCTGAAAAGAAAAGAAATGGTGAGGGTTAATGTGGGAAGGACCCAAAGAGCAGCCAGTAAAGACCAGCAGGAAAGAATCAATCCAACGAGAGGACTTGTGGGGCCATAGATTGGACAGCGCCATTCCCCTCACAGCACTCCTGGTCCAGAGCCCCTCAGTTGAGAGGCCTCCACCTTCCTGCTGGTGGAATGTTCCGGGGGGGACAGAGATGGAGATCCTGGGTGGTGTCCCTCCGCTCTGTGTGAATGCACATAAACAGAGGAAGGCCTACCACAGGGAGGGTCAAGCAGGCCCCAGGGACCTGTGGCCGTGGCTTCTCTAAGACCCCCCACACACATGTAAAAGCACAGTTCTGGTTCCTGGCCTGGCTCCTCAGCTCCTGACATGGGGCAGCTGCCCTGCAGGGGGCACGGAGCACCCTCTGGGGGTTCCAGAAAGCTGCAAGTTCCCCAGGAAGGCCTCTGGATTCCTATCCCTGCGCAGCAGCAGGGGCTGAGGCTCAGGGGAACTGTGGGGCTGCAGGTCCCGGATGCAGGCTGCTCTCAGATAAGAACCTTGAGACAGTCCTAGGGGAGGGTTGGGTTTCCTGCCCCCTCCTCCACCCAGCACACTCTTCCTTCCTTCCAGACCCTCCCACCAGGCCCACAGCCCAGACTCTCCATCCCCAGGTTTGGCTGCACTTCACACTTAGCAGGTTGAGGGCTAGATCGGAGGCCTGGCCCCCCTCAAGGTGTGTCCTAGCTGGATCAGGACTGGCCCAGGGCCTGCCCATCACCAGCTTCTGCACGTCTCCTTTCTGCCTTGCTCCCCTCCCCATGCCTCCATTTCTGGTCAAGATTCCCAACTCTGCTGAGGAAGGAAGTCCATTTCCGGCTTCTGTTACTTTACTGTTACTGGGCCTGACCCAGGCCTGGGGGGCTTGCCTGGAGGTGGGACTTGCTCTGGTCTTCCTCTATGGTTTTCTTTCTGATTAAGGGGACTTGGGGGAGAGGAAGAGTCTGTGTAGAAGACTAGGCCCCCTCTGAACCTGGGGTCTCCCGCCTGGACACTTAGTAGGAGTTGGCTGCACTTTTCAGAGTCTATAGAGATTTCTGTCATGAGTCACAATAAGGCAGGATCTATGGAGGGAGGGGAGGAACAACTTGGATGGGGTCAAGGTCTGGAATCCTGGTGGGATCCCTTTGTGTGGCCTCAGCACCCTAGTTGGTGACGTGGAGAAGAGGTGGAACACCAGAGCCTGGGCTGTATCTACACTGACACCAAGACAGTAGGGTTTAAACAACCACTCCCGAAAGATCTCCTTCATTCACCAGTCTCTGCAGCAGTTCCCACCCCAGGAATGAACAAGCGGTAACTACACAGGTGATAAACACCTGAGCAGTCGGTATTTGTACAGTAAGTGGTATAGGTAGCTTTTGTTTAGATGAGCTGTGCCTTCCTGTGAACTCTGTCATGACATATCCAGGAGCCCAGTGGCGAGCCTACGGCACAGACCCTACCCACCTCCTCCACCTTCTGCTGGTTCTCTGTGCACCTCCCTTCCCGCTGGGTCCCCAGGATGCTAACAGTCTGTGTCTCCCGGCCAGCAAGCACGCCTTGGGCAGCCATGAGTACATCCAGTACTGCCGCAAGTTTGACATCGACATCCGGCTACAGCTGATGGAGCAGAAGGCCGCTCGCAGTGACCTGGCCCGGACGGTTCGTGCGGGGTGGTTGATGGAGGTGGCAGGGACAGGGTGCTCTGGAACACGGTAGGCGGGAGTGCCAGGCTGAGACACTTCTCCTACAGGTGAATGATGACCAGAGTCCCTCCACCTTGAACTACCTCATCCATCTACAAGAGAGGCCAGTCAAACAGACCATCAGCAGGTGAGGGTGGTACCATCTTGGGTGTGGCCTGGGGAGGGGCTGTGAGGAGGCCCCACCTATACATGTGCTGGCCGGGTTTTGGGCTGGGACCAGAGGATTCTTGCAGGTGTCTGAGGTTGGGGCCCAAGAGCCTTGTCAGGGAAGATCCCCACTCCACGGGGGATGGGGATGCCCCCATTGTCCAGGTGAGGGGTGACAAAGCAGAAAGGACTCCCTCCTTCCATCTTCGTGGGACACAGAGAAAATTGGGACCCCTGGAAATCAGATCTTGATTCCTAAGCAGAGCAGGAAGAGGAAAGGGATGGGTCTCCCTGGGCAATGGGTATTTTGTGACCTCTCCTGTGATTTTTCTCTGCCCCCAACTCCCCAGGCAGGCCCTGAGTCTTCTGTTTGACACGTACCACAATGAGGTGGATGCCTTCCTGCTGGCTGATGTGAGTACACCTGCAGGCCTCGCCCTTCCTCTTCCTCGGCTTCCTGGGATCAGCCAGCGCCGTGAGGGAGACCACTGCTGGCTGGTGAGCAGATGGCCAGTGTGTAGAAAGCGTCTGCTCCCGTGTAGAGCAGGGCTCGGGGGTGAGCACTGACCCACTTCTGAGCAGGGCGTCTCCAAGAGGAGGAATAGGAGTGTCTTCCCAGCCGGGGTGCCCGGAGATGCCTTGGCCTGAGTGTCACAGGAGGAAAACCCTCAGGAGATGGAGGGTCCCAAATAGAGGGAGGGGCCTGGAGTTCCTTTCCACGTGGAACCTCCAGGTTTGAAACTATAAGAATGAACTTTTGCCCAAATTTTAGGAAGCTGAAGCAAATCTGCTTTGAAATGATCTTCAAAATTAATCCCTGGAAGCCGGGGATTTGGCTCTCCACCTGCCTCGAAGGCATAAGGACCCAAGTTGGCTCCCAGGTGCAAAAAAAAAAAAAAAAAAAAA